TTTCCGGTATCGACTCAAAACTAGTTCTTTGCTGTAATTCATAATTATTTTGATTTATTTTATCAAGAATTTCGAATTACATATGATTTTTTAGAAATAAGGCGGTAAAGCCCGATTTCAGTAGGCGAATTTATTCCCGCGATGGATATATGAAAACCGGTGTGATGTGATTGCTTTGCGAAAGAATTCGCTGCGCGAAAAAGTAGAATCGAATTTGTATCAGTTTGCGCGAATAAATTCGCCTAGTGGAAAACGGGCTTATATAACTCAGTATTAATTTTGTCGGCAGGCCAACAGTTAATTTAGAAACAGGGAATCAAGATTGAAAGAAGACAATACAAGAATGCATGAGCCAAGAAAAAACCCCGCATACATAATTAAATTTGCTTGCACGAATGAGAATTATGAAAAAAAAAGTTCGACTCAGGAGTCAGAGCCGTGCTAGAATCTTAAGTGGGAGGCAAATATTCATGTAATATTCTTCTTTTGTCTGACTGATTTCTTTCTATAACAATGGTCCACTAGCGGAAAAGAATAACTTATTATCAGGGTGGTAAGAAGTAAATAAATCAAGTCACACATGCAGCTAAAGAGCATATACTCAAATTAGTATAATTGCCATGTTTGGTCATTATGTCATGTAGTACTGCAAATATAGCTATTTGAAGTAGGCAATTTTTGTATACATTTGCATAACGGGCGAAAGTGAATAATTTAGTTACACTCTTCCCATCATAATTCAAAAGAATACAACAATTACTAGTTTCGCATTGCTATATCTTCGGCACTTTAGAATAACCGCTCTCTAAAATATCATTGATCAACCCACTTCAATTGCAACAAGTTTACTAGTGCTTCGGCAGCAAACATTTCCAGGTATGTGGGTTCACTTTCTCCTTGATTAATTGCTAACATATCTATTGTATTTTCAGAATAGCATAAAATATAAGCAGTGAAATTTTCTTGACGATATTCACTTTTATATACTCGCTACGAGCATGAACACCAAGCATCATGCGGGCCTTTGAATCGAAAACAAGTGATTATCACGAATTAGTACATCAAAAACTTGACAAAACGCCTAAAAAAACCTAGGAGTCTCAATTCAGCTAAGCTTGCCTATTGATATACTTATTAGCTATACTATACACTTGATGAAATCTATGAATAAATCTCCTAAACAGGAGACTACAGTGTTTATTATAAGTACTTTATAATATTAAAATTTTACATTAGCATGACGTCACTTGATAATTTATTCAAGGAAAGGCACGTCAACAGCCGCATTCAACACTGATGGGAAGTCTACCTCCAGATCGGCTTGAGGTACAGTCACCGTCCTTTACAGTCACCGGAATAGACCTGTTCGGACCATTCCTGCTCAAGTACGGGAGGAAAAAATCGACCAAAGCTTGGGGAGCCATCTTCGCATGCGCAACAACAAGAGGAATCCATCTAGAAGTCGTAAAGAACGCATCAGCCGAAGCCTTCTTACAAGCTCTCAGACGCTTTGCATCTCACCATGGTTGGCCAGATACCATAATCTCAGACAACGGAGGCTCGTTTGTCGGTGCAGAAGGAGAAGTCTTTTTATCGAAGGAAAGAAGCGGTTGCAAGACTCTCAGAAGAAGCGTCAAATCGAAAAGGGTGATATAGTCCTTATCGTAGAGAATAACGTCCCACGAGGAAAATAGAATCTCGGTGGAGTTGCCGAAGTCTTCCCAGGTAAAGATGGGATCGTAAGAAACGTAGCCTTAAAGACGAAGAACGGCGAGCTGAAACGATCAGTTCAGAAGTGTTGTGTTCTCATTGAAGCAAAGTAAACAAACTGGTACCTTACCGGCGCCCCCGGAGGGTTGTTTAGGATAAGTACTGTATGATATTAAAATTTTACATTAGCATGACGTCACTTGATAATTTATTCAAAGCGCAAGTGTAATTTAAAACCTAAAAAAACTGAAAAATGCAATTAGTATCCAGACAGCATTTGAGTTGCTATACAGAGACAGAATAAACGTTTTCGATAGCTCGAACGGAGGAGATCCACCCTTCAGATACTGTAATGATATTTATTTGATTGCGCAAAACGATTTGTTATTTTATTTGGTTTAGTAAGTTTGATTTATTGTGATTTGAACGATTTATTTTGGAATAATAATCCATACAATCGTAAAAATATGATCGGAATGTGCAACACATAATCTTTGTAAATTTGAGATTTTTTCAGAATTATATACGTAAAATTAAAAAGAAATCTCCTCTCGTGTCGCAGTTTCGTCTTCCGGGCATGCGTCTAAACCATACAGAACAAACGTTCATAACAGTTGTCGCACTGTACTTTATTGTATAAGTTTTTATTCTGTATAAATATTTAGAAATAATAATAATAATAAAATCTTCAAGTTATAGCCAACAGCTGGCTTTAGCAGACAGCAACATTATACTCTACGAAAACCAAATCAATCTACATCTGATCGAAGCATTACCATGCAAAAATCAATAATGAATTTCCCGTTACGAATAAAATCAACGGATTTTTAGGGACAGTTGGGGTACATTTTAATACCATGTTTAGAAGTTAAACTTCATGGCATATTATCATGTAATCAACATATTATTAATGAATCGGTTTGTTATAATTAATTATACTACAATGGTTTCTGTGCTGTGATATAAAGTCCTGTACTTGGATTATTGTTTGCCGTTTTGGCAAATTTCCCACAATAAATTGAGAGACGATTCATACAAGTTGCAAAACAAAGGCGTGTCGACGAACAATGCATGCAGCTGATGCTTTTTTGTCTTTAGAGCTGCTTGTTTTCTCTGATCTCTTCTGGGGGGTGATGGATTTGGAAAAAAGACGCAATATATTTATTCAACTAGACTACATTCTCATTAACGCCTTCAATGTAATAGTGCTACCCGAAAAAGAACAATTATTTTAAAAAATATTTGGTATACGGAATGTTTATATTTCAAAAAAACGTATATCAAAGAATCGGGATAAAATTTAATTATTAATTGTATGTGTGAAAAAAAATTAAATTTCATTTTCAAAACTTAATGGCAAATGTAGTTAGATCATAAGGAATATAGGTAAAATTGACGCTAAAATTGCAATTGCGTAAGTATGTAGACGTAGCCTATAACTGGCGTATAATTATCTTTTTCCCCCTATGGAGTCTATACAGGGTGTATGTAAAATGAATGTTAATTAGCAAGAACTCGTTCAAGCATACGACATCCGCTCTCCAAAATATCTTTGATCGACCCTCTTTAATTGCAACTAGTCCACTAGTGAATCCACAGAAAATATTTCCAGGTATATATGCGTTTAATTTATCCTTGATTATTTGCTAACATATTTATTGCCTGGATTTCCATTATGCATAGTAATATATATAAACAGTGATATTTCCTTGACAAAATTCGCTTTTATATATATTCACTAAAGAGCATGCATAAACCTCAATGGCATGAACACCAAACATCATACAGGCCCTTCGAATTCCAATCCAAAACAAGTTTTATCATATCATATCATATCATATCATATCATATCATATCATATCATATCATATCATATCATATCATATCATATCATATCATATCATATCATATCATATCATATCATATCATATCATATCATACCATTATCATATCTAAACTAAAGCTTAATAAAAAGCCTTAAAGAACATATAGGAGTCCAAATTCGGCTATGGCTTGCGTCTCGATATACTTTAATGGTAGCGATTGAACCCTTGATGAATCTATCAATAAATCTCCGAGATATTCCTGTAATCAGTAGCGTAGCCAACTAGTCGATTTGTCCCGCGATGTTAATATTTTAGTGTTCACTGACTGTGAAAACAATAGATTTCTAAAGACATGAATAATTATAACTCGAAATTTACATAGCGGGACAAAATCGTCAGGCTGGCTACGCCACTGCCTGTAATAGCTAACAGATGGTTTTAGCAGAGAGCAACATTACTATGCAAAAACCAAATCAATTTACATCGGATAAAAGTACGACAATAAGTACAGAGCTCTGATATATGTAAAGACTATACTTTTATTAGACTAAGTAAGTGAATTAACTTGTACGTAAACTACGAAAGTATTTAACTACTGTGATTTCCCTTTAGCACTGCGCAGAGTATTATACAATTACTTAATGGTATCCGTGTTTGGATGGCCTGATTCAATAAGGGGTTCGATCAATCAGAACACGCGTTATATACATGTTATTTTATAAAATTATTTACTCTCTTCAAAAACCATCAATTATACGTACATGGTACAAGACATTTGTGAAGATACTTTGCATTGGCTAGGGGATTATAAAGCTACCAAGTTGCATAAAAGGTGATTAGCACAAAAAAGCTAATTAGAAAAAGTTCATTCAAGCATACGACATCCGCTTTTCAAAATATCATCGATCGATGATTTCAATTGGAATCTTGAAAGAGAGCAAACAAGTCTACTAGGGATTCGACACCAAAAATTAATTTCTCTTTGATTATTTGCTAACATATTTATTGCACGGATTTTCACCATGGCATGAATATAAACAGTGTTATTTGCTTCACGAAATTCATTTTTATATAATTTTTCGCTATTGACGATGAACAGCAAACATTGTACAGGTCCTTTAAATCGAAAAAAAGAGATTATCATGATGTAGTATATAAAAAACTTGATAAAACGCCTTAAAAACCCCAGAGTCTGAATTCAGCTAGGCTTACCTTTCGATATACTCATTAGCTGGCGATTGAACTGTTGATGAATCTATGGATAAATCTCCTAAATCTTCCTGTAATAGCCAACAGCTGGCTTTAGTAGAGTCAGCAGACAGCAAAATTACCTCACGAAAATCAAATCAATGAACACCGGATGAAACTATAGCCTTGCTAAAATTAATAATGAATTTCCCGTTACGAATAAAATCAACTGATTCCTCGGGTACATTTTAAAATGATGTTTAATGAAATGATTGATGGAATATTATTGTTACTATTGAATCAGTTTGTGATAATTAAATATGCTACAATGGATTCTGTTCTATTATAATCTTATAAAGCCTTATACTTTGATTACTGTTTTGCCGTTTTGGCAAGTCTCCAACAATTAATTGAACCACAAAGCATGCAGCTGGTGCCTTTTCGTGTTTGTAACTGCTGGTCTTCTCTGATCTTTTCGGGGGGTGAGGGTTTTGGAAGAAAAACCCAATATTATACAGTATTTATTAATTTACTTGGCTATATTTATGTGGATATAAATATATAAAAGATGCATAATATTGCAAACAAGAGATTAATTAATATATATGACTTGTAACCTTAGGGCAGGCAGGACATTCTATTACAGCACAGGTGACATCTTCTGCATCAACATCATATGCTTTTCTGTTCTTCAAATGATACCTTACATGTAAAACAAAGGTAGACAATTATAACTCCCTGTCATTTTATCAGTAATATTAAAATACCAAGGATCTATATAGTGCAGTATATATGCATAATTAAATTTACCTGTATTCTTCAAAACTCTCAACAAACTGGTCATAAATTTTCTTTTTCTACACAAATATTACAATGATGCATTCAGGTGGTTAAGCCATTAATGCAAGAACCACATCATTATAAATTGAATAATAAACACCATTACTGTCTCACTGTATTACTGTCATTACTGTAATTCTCCCTTCAAGAGTACACTCCATCCCCGACACAATTATTGTATTTATTTTTTACCTTTACAACTGGATTTTTAAAGAAATCCAAAGTTTTCAGCATATCATGAATTGAAACATGACATTCCATGACAAGCCTCAATGTCATTTCCATCAAATCTAATGTGAATCCCAGATTAGGTTCGACAGGTGTTGCTGGCCAAATACCACAATGAAGCAGACTTTCAGGGACACCAAAACAAGTGCAATATTCAAACAGTATTTCATGATGAAAACCTAAAAAGCAAGAGCAGACTATTTAAGACCGAAAATCCATATGTGTAGCTTATGCATGACTGGCAACTCACTATTTAATACTTTGGTGTCTGGAAGAGTGATCATGAGATACAAACACATATATAATCCCAACAAAGCATCATATAATTTTAGGGCCAACATTACTTACATAATGGTCAGGTTTTATTAATAAAATTGATGTGTTATTACTGCAAATTAGGCCAGCTTGGATATAATGTAAATTATCAGGGCTGTAGTTAGATAGGGTGTTGTACATTGATATATTCATGCAGTATGTAAACACATACCGTAGGAACAATTGCTCTCAAAGGAAATCAGTCTGGCAATTAAGATATGGTCACCTAAATTATGCACCCTGCAACCAGCTTCTAGCTACAGCCTTATAAATTATTGAACTATTTGACTATGCTAACCATTTGTGAAAAGCCAACAAGTCAAGTTCTATATCTAACTTTGCTGGTGTACACATTATTTATTACCTTTTAAATCAACAACTGTGATTGGCTTTAAGTGTGTTCCTTCACACTGGTGTCTCTCATTGTGCAGAACTTGACCAGGAATGTTATATTGTTTCCACAATCCCTCCTTATAATATTATTTTAGAAATTTGTAAGTGTGCATGTTCAGATATTTTATAATACACTACAGAGAGTTTGACAGTCGTTTCTCATTCAATGGCAGAACTGTGCATGTAAGGACCACTTCCACAGGGATTCAACTGTTCTACCACCGGGGTGCATATAAATAGGGCACTTCTGCAGACCCAATAGATTGAAAAAATACCAGGCTTGCAGTTTGTTGAGCTGAACATATACTACACGCAGCATTAAAATAGAACACAGCAATGGTATACTAGCTAGCATAAATTATTCCTTTCATGATTGTATATTAAACACTTACTTCAAATATCTCACAGTAATGGAAATGTAGCTGGTCTCTATGTATATTATCACAGCAATCTTTGCAATAATATTTAGAGAAGCTGCAATCTTTGCAACGAGTTTTTACGGCCTCAGAACAAGTTGACTCGCTACATTTTGACGGAACAAAACCTTCAATTGCTAGTGATGTCCGCAGTAACTGTAGCCTTTTCCCCTCCCAATTTGACGATAACCGTTCTCTACGCTTCTTGTAGGTGACTCCAGACGGTAACTTGCTTGATTCATCGTCACTATCGTGTTCTGATAAGTCGTCAAAGTCCGTGGTGTCACAAGGCTCGTTCTCGTCATCATGGCTTACCCCGTGCAGTTGTACAGTTTCATCCCACGTCTCTGCCTCTTCGGCTGTTTCCAAACAACTTGCAACGGGAAGACTAACGTTTGTCCTTCTCCTACTCCTCGCATCAACAACTTCGATGCTAGAGTTGGCTTTCCTTTTACCTTTTTGAAAATACATTTTTAAACTTGTGTATTTTCAACTCTTCCATCGTCCGCCATTTTATTACAAAACCTTACTCGCCCTCCCCCTACTAAGAAAAATTTTCGTATTAAACAATTCCCAGTAACTTACTGGATACAATGTGCATATAATATCTATTAGTTTATTGGATACAACGTTCGGATCGGGTGTTCATGTATTTTCCGTTGGTAAACAGGTTAATTCAGGCGTGGCCCATTATACTGTATATAATGCAGTTAAGTCCCTTAATGTCATCACGTGTCAGTATTAGCAGTATATACAGTAGGGGGCAAAAGTCTGAGTCCAGTCGTTGTAGAATTCCAGTATTAAATCCTGGCAGCGTATTCGAGTTAAGACATGCGTGCTAGTGTTTCAGTACTGTGTAAACCATATTAATTGCACACTGTTTTGGTCCTATTGATCTAAATTATAACAAAATAAAGTTCTCATTCCTTTACACTGCCCAAGATGGGTGGGAAAAAGGGCAAAGTGATGGTGCACAAGGACAAAATAGTTGCATTAAGTATTGAAGGATTCATTCCTCGTAAAATCGCGGAAAAATCGAGAATTTCAAAAGGTGGTATGCAACAAACCTTGGAGAGGTTCGAAGAAACTAAATCCTACTCAAGCAAACTTTTAGCTGCTTCGGTCATGCTGGGTTTGGCAATATTGAAAGATATAATAGGATCCTAATTAAGGGAAAGTATCATCCAATTCTTCAAGGACATGGAATTTCATCTGGTACAAAGATGATTGCCCGTCTAACTACATGATAATCCCCTAAGCACCTGCACATCTTGTATGTGCCAGAAATCTTTTAGAAGCAAACTCGTTCTGGTGATCTCGTTCTCATGGCTTTCCACCTCAAATTCCAGATCTGAAACCTATGGAGCACTTGTAGGACCGTTTAAACCGGAAAAGGGCGAGGCACAGACCCACCAGCCAGGATGTCTTGAGGGAAGTGGTCAACGAATAATGGCAAGGTATTGAACGTGCGACATTAAAAAGCCTATAGAGTCTATGCCAGCAAGAATAAACGTCATTTCAAGAGAAAAAAAGAGGGATACTAAGCATTAACCATGTAATGCATGTTTGCACATTAACAGACGTAAAATGAATATCATAACATCTCATAGTTGTTGTACAGCATGTATTTTTCTGTTTACTCAATTACTTTTTTCTAGTTCACTTATCGGTAAAGTTTTCTGTAGAAAATTAATGTATGCTGCTAAAACAATGAAATACAGTCACTGGACTCAAACTTTTGCCTCCTACTGTATATTCAGGTTTTTCAGTATCTAGTTCTCTCGCTCTCTTGCTATATCATTCAAACGGTCTCTTATAAACCCCCCCATCCCGGCCCCTCGCGAGTGTGTTATTTTACAGTTACACACACAATACATTTTGTTTCGGCATAGGCCGTACAGATTTTAGTTCAAGCTCCACATCCCGTTGTCATCGATGCCACCGGTTTGGCCACTGGGCTCGTCAGTGCAGAGTTTATTCGCCCTATTACCAGTCATCAAACCGCAGCGGCTTCCCTTATTCAAACAACGCCTACAATACTAACTCTTCAGGAGGATACAACGAGATCAATCCAAATGAAACTCATCGATATGATTCACTCGAAGACATTGTACAGGTACAATATTATTTTGAATATGAGCAATCATTACAATTGAAAGTCAAAGGCAATCTCAAGAAACATATAGAATTTTGGCAATCAATAGGCTCGCCCAAATCTATTATTAGTATGATTGAGGAAGGTTACAAGATACCGTTTAATCAAATGCCTCCGTCAGTTAATCTCACTAATAACAGATCCGCGTTACAACACGCAGAATTTGTCGATCAAGCTATTTTAGAACTCGTTCAGTCTCAACGGGTCATCGAAGTCGTCGAACCCCCGCACGTTGTCAATCCGTTGTCTGTTGCCGTACAATCTAGCGGGAAGAAGAGACTTATTCTCGACTTGAGACACGTCAATCAGTACGTTGTTAAATCGAAAATAAAATACGAAGACTGGAAAGTTGGTTTGAGATATTTCCAAAAGGGCGCATTTATGATTTCTTTTGATCTAAAGAGCGGTTATCACCATATTGAGATTCACAACCAGTATCAAACGTTTCTAGGATTTGCTTGGAAATGCCCAAGGACTAAAGAGCCTAAACATTACGTTTTTACTGTTTTGCCATTCGGTTTGTGCTCTGCACCTTACGTATTTACAAAATGCTTGAAACCCCTCGAGAAATACTGGAGACTACAAGGTATACAAATAGCATTGTTCCTGGATGACGGCTGGTTAGTTGAATTCGATTATGAACATTGCTTGTCTCTAGTCAATTGTATACGGTCAGATTTATTTAAAGCGGGTCTCATCGCCAACTCTGATAAGTCCATTTGGGAGCCTTGTCAAATTATCGAATGGTTAGGCATTGTTTGGAACTCCCGCGTTGGGTCTATTTACATTACAGATCGAAGGATTGATAATATATTGCAATTCATAGATGATATTAAAGCAAGGAGCTTTATCGTTTCGGCTAGAGAATTGGCCTCATTATCGGGTAAAATTATTTCAACCTACGCAGTGACAGGAGATATTTCAAGGTTAATGACGAGACATTGTTCTATGTCAGTAAATAGTGCTTCCAATTGGGATTCGAAATTTCTCTTAAATGAATACTCCGTCAAGGAACTTATTTTTTGGCAGAAAAACTTAAAGAAGGTTAACTTTAAAGATATTAACGCATTACCTTTGCTTTCTAACTATGTTGTTTATTCGGATGCAAGTGCCTCAGGCTGCGGAGCACACTTGAACTTTAACGGTGAGCAAATATGCCATAAACTTTGGGAACAGCATGAGATATCCAGAAGTTCTACTTGGAGGGAGTTGTCTGCCATTGAATACGCCCTTCAATCTTTTCTTCCCCTTGTTCAGAACACATATTTAAAGTGGTTTACTGATAATCAAGCGGCTTGCAGTATAGTTCAAGTGGGCAGCATGCGTCGAGATTTACATGATATTGCCTTAAGGATTTACCAGACTTGCGTTGACAATAACGTACAGCTAGCCATTCAGTGGATTCCTCGCACCGAGTTACAAAAGGCCGATTGCATTAGCCGTATAATTGACATTGACGACTGGCAGATTACACCATCATTTTTTCGGCATTTAGATTCAATATGGGGAAAACATACTGTCGATTGCTTTGCTAACTTTTATAACAAGAAGATTAGTCGCTTTTATTCATGGCATTGGAACCCAGGTTGTACTGCGGTTGATTTTTTCGTACAGAACTTGAAGGAAGAAAATTGTTTAGTTGTTCCCCCAGTCAGCCTCGTAATTGAAGCTTTAAATTACCTATACAAGAGGAGCGCGCTTGCCACAGTCGTGGTACCGTTCTGGCCTTCATCACAGTTTTGGCCGATAATTTGTAGAAAGTACTATTGTTGTATCGTCGAGTATAAAGTTTTTAAAGGAAGCAGTGTCTTGATGCATGGTAGAAACATTAACTCTATCTTCGGCCCTCAATTTCCGGGCGATATGTTAGCCCTTAGAATGGATTTCCGTACCAATATGTTGAACTGAATCCAGAAATTCTGTCTAGATCTGGTACGGTCTCATGACAGGCTGTGAACTGTTTAATACTAATAAACCTCAACGAATTTTATGTATAAAATTATGCCTATAAGTGACACTGGTCATAATGGATATAGGGGCACTGGCCCAAACGGATTTCTAGTGGCACTGGCCAATATAGTCTATATTCGAGACTACGTAAGCTGACATAGAGGCGACATGGCATCCACCTGTCACTTGTTGTGTATACTTATCCTACTATAGATTATTTATATTATTGTGTTACGCTGGAACGAATTGTATAGCGTTATCAGAGTGTTTAAATAAAGCAGTTTTCTCACAAGCAATTACCACATATTTATTTCATCTGTTTAGTTTCAGATTCTTGGTTCGCAACAATTTTTGGGAGATCTACCAGAACGTATTCGTCCAGACAAATCAATTTTAGCAAAGTTACTTGCTAACTCTAGGGCAGATTCAACTACGAAGAAATATTCTACAGAGATTGTTAAGTTTCAGAAATGGCGTGCCATACACCGCCTTCCGGTCCAGTTTCCTACAAATATCCCAATTGCGGCAACTTATATCCACCATCGTTTCGTTGAGTCAAATTCTCCCAGTGTGGTGACTACTACATATGCTGCACTCAAATGGTTACATTCCCTTTTACCAGATAATTGTCCAAACCCTTTCGATAACTCATTTTGTCGAAATTTGGTTGAGGGTATTAAACGATCGAGAACAACTCCCGTTCAGAAGAAGTTGCCAGTGTCTCCCGAGATGTTGAGAAAAATTTTAGACAAGTACGCATATCCTGATGCGAATCTCAAGGATTTAAGGGTGGCCTGCATCTGCGCTATTGGTTTTACAGGTTTTCTTCGCTTCAATGAATTGAGCAATATTTTGGTGCACCATATCGAAAAATATGATGATTACATTAAAATCTTTATCCCTCGGTCTAAAACTGACATTTACAGAGAAGGCAATTATGTTTTCATCAAACGCCTTGCTAATAAATATTGTCCAGTTTCTGTTTTAGAAAGATATCTAAAATTGGCTAAAGTTGGCTTCGATAGCACCTTGCCTCTGTTCAGGCCCCTCAGGTGGTTCAAATCAGAACAAGACGCCTGATCTGGCGTTAACTCCGGCGCACGTGCCAGTCTTTAATATAGAGCTTCTGAACATAAACAATACAGTTCATATTCGCATTTAGATGCCTTGCGAGTTGCGAACCTATAAATGTTCGATTGCGAAATTTAGAAGCACACCGTACTTTAAAAAGTGTAGAAGTTCAATTGTTGAAAAATGTAAATAAACCGCGTGATACATTCGCTTTGTCTTACACTTTGCTTTTGGAATAGGCGCTTATACAGTTATATTAAATCTTCAATCCTGTGCTAACTACGACGTGTCAACGCGCCCATACACGACCACATCATCTTATTAAACGGCGAAATAGCAGCGATATTATTAAAATAGGAACAGAATCTACATGTATTAAATATATTCTTACCCCAATTCAATCTAAACTTAGTCGAACAGCATGAAAACAACGGTTTATTCGTTCCTCTTGGAGGAATT